TCGGGGGCTGTCGGCCGGGGCGGCTGCCGTCGCTGGGCGGGAGGCGATCGTCTCGGCGAGGCGGGGCGGCAGTGGCACTGGCTGCCTCCTCGGAGCGGGGAAGAGCGGCTGTGTGGGGCTGCGGCGCGCGCCCGGCCTTTTATACGCTGCCGGCGGCCGGCGCGCCAATGGGCTGAATGGAGTCCCACACAAACAGGGACATTCCTCGCATTCCTCCCCACCTTCCTGCCCCATCAACTCACACCGGATTGATCCTGACCCCTTGACACTCAGCATTCCTCCGTCTGAAAAAGCTGGCACACTCCAGCTCACCAGAAAAAAAAAAGGGCGCAGTATTTCCAACATCAAATAGGAGTTTTTTCCTATGCGCTTCTGCTTCTCTGTACTTCTGATTTCTGTCGTTTAAAATCACACTGGCAGTTAGTATTATTTTTTGCTACCTCTTCTCTCTTTAATAGTTTTGCCCTGTTCTGGCATAAGTCCTTTTAAGGAGGTGGGTAGCTGAAGAGACAAACGAGGATTCCTAAAAAAAAAAAAACTCTAAAAAGTTACCTTTTTAGTGTTTTTGTAGTGATTTGCGTTCAAGAGGCTGTAGGGTCTTGAAACTCTGCGAAAAGGAGGAAGTAGCTTTGAACCATTAGAAATCCCCAAGATGCCCACCTGGAAAATCCTGAATCCTGTATCTGAAATAGAGGAATTTGATCCTTTGTCATTTGAGATAACGGTTTGGTTTCGTGACCCACAGCCAGAAAGACAGGGAACGAAGTGGGAGTCTGGGCAGGGACGCGGGTCCCTGGGTAGATTCCCAGCACCTTCCTTTGCTTTCTCTTAGTGCATGGGACACTGTGTTGTTGGAGGTGCTGGGAGGGAAAGGGGGTAAGAGGCCATCCGTGTTTCCAGAGAAACGGGTCTGTTCCTAACGTCAGAGCAAATGACTGTGTGCTGGGTAGGTACAAGCTCGGGGTCTCTGGATGGGTCACGGGTGGGAGAAGAGCCATCCAGACAGGAGGGGCCAGCAGAAGCTTGGGGTTCCTTAGCGGCATGTTAAACAGCTGCACTGAGGTCTTTAGGTGAGTGATTTTACTCATACTAAAACCTGTAGTCTTCAAATATGCATTGAACTTGGTTTTTCTTGAAGTAAAAAGATTATACAAGAAGCACCGTGTACCCTGTTGTGTCTGATTATAACCTGTCAGGGAATAATATGTTTTTAGTGACTCCCCACACATGGGTGAATAGGGATTGTGACCTCTGATGACCCGGGTGTGTGGGATGAAGTCGGGGAAGAATGGGCTCTCCCCGCTGCTTTGTGCGGGTGTCAGCTAAGACGACCCTCAGACTGTCTCCCCGTCTTTGGACTGCTACTTAGCTTCACTGAAGACCCAATTAATTAGCTGTGCACTCATTTAGCGTCTGTGTTGTTTAACTGGCTTTTCGGTTAATAGCTCCAATTACCATTTTATGGTAAGGAGAGTGATTCTAGGGCCATGCCACCCTCAGCTGACAGTGGCGTCACCCTCACCGGTGAGTGGGTTCCTTTCAGTTGATGCTTCACATTCCAGGCTTGAAGGGAAGCATATCTGTTTCTGATGTGAAGACAAGGAGAGGAGCCCGCACACTACAGATCTGTAACTTGAAGGTAGCGTGTGTCAACCGGCCAGCGTTTTTAAGGTTTCAATTCGTCATACTGGGAAACGGCCAAGGGGAAAAAGAATTAACCAACTTGGGCACCGGTGCCGATCATCTGAGCACAATTACCTCCTTAGGCAAGCCACATGTTGTACAGTGCAGTTGCATGTCTGCAGTGTGAATGGCCAGCAAAGGGCCTCTGAAGCCCAGGAAGAATTTTCCTCATTGTTATTTAATGTTCTTTCCAGGCATTCCTCAAAGAGAAGAGGCCTGTTAGTTCCTATTTAAAGAAGGAACATTCCAAGTTATGTTAATAGCCACATGTGTATTAAGGCAACTTGGCCCCCAACTATCTCTTCCCCGTGGATGATTTTAAAAGCCTAAAATATGTGGGAAGCCACAGTGAAATCTTTCAAGACCTAAACCTCCAATTATAGCTACCACTAATGGCTGGAAAGGTGGGGTGGAGGGGAAGGAGGGGGACAGAAAGCACGCGCCTCATCTAAGGTGGGATGTGGGTTCCGTGGTGAGCTCTTTAGCCTGCAGTGTGAGGGACATGGGACAGCCAGCAGTGCGGACTTTGGAAACCTCAGGAGAGTCAGGGCCACCACCAGCAGCTTTGTACACACAGCGAGGAGACCCATTCATGAAGAGGATGAGTTGCATAGTTGGGTAACATGGGTTATATTCTTAGAACTGCCATTCACAAGTCTCAGAGAAGTCCTTGCAAGTAGGAGCCATCTTCTCAGATTCCCATTTATAAAAGGAAGACACTAAGAATTTTTAAGTTTGCAGAGTCCAGGGAGGGTTAAGTAGATTGAAAATCTCAGGGAATTGGTACTTTAACTTGCTTACCTTTCTCTCTCTCTCTCCACGCATGTGAGAATGTGACCATTTTGTGGTATTGTTAAAAATGCCCTGACATTATAAAAAGAACTTGGCTGTACTAGAAAAGTCGCGTGGTCTCTCCAATCTCAGTAGGTTCATAGCTCCAAAGGGATGGTTTTAAGATTGGCTGAAAGGAAGCAAACATCTTGAAATGTACAGAACATGTGAAACCTCACAATAGAAAATATGCTGTGCATTTCAAATTTTTCCTTTAGGCTTTATGACCAAAACTCTTTTGAAAGAGTTAAAAGATCATTATTAAGAGAGTCATAGAGACAGAAACACACTCCCCCCCCCCACACACACACACAAAGAATGAGAGAAGACACCCAAGACATTCACAGACTCGAAAGTATGTTTTTATTGTGATGCAGACCATTAAGGGCCAGGAAATTTAGAGGAAAGGCTGACACCCTGTTCTCAATTCATGCCACAGCATATGAATTCTTGCACTATTATAAATGACTCAGCAAATGTTTGTGTGTGCCTGGGCGGTAAAGTGGAAATAGTGGCTTCTTACAACTTCATCCAACTCTGACTTATCCCAACCCTTTGAGTGACAGCAGGTCAGAATGGAGAGAGAAAAAGTTCTTTGAATTTGTGCACAAGACGGTAAAAGTGCACTCATTTGGACTTGTGGGCAAGTGGTTACCTAGCAAACTCATTTCCCTGGTAAAATAGGAATTTGTGAAGCGGGCCACTGAGTCATTCCCCAAGCTAGATAAGGAGCGTGCATGTCTCCTAGACATGGTCTCTGCAGGTCATTTAGTGAAGTCTTGTAAGATATTTGGCTGTGGGTGTACTACATTCTTTCCCTTGTGTTCTTTGTTTTTTTTGCCCTCCTAAAAAGAGGTTCCTTGATCAGGTATCAGACAGAGAGAAACCCTGGCAGGACTACAGGAAAGTGGCCAGACTTGGAGTGTTTGTGTACTTAAAGAAGGAATCTTGCACATTTTCAACTTTTAGTTGTAGACATTTTCTTATAAGAGCAAGCAGAAGCCGGTGCCAGCCCTCAAAGCGGAAATCAAAGCTCCCAGGGAAACATAGCGGAGGAATGTGAGTCTGAGCCAAGAGCCATACGCAAGGCGCACACCGAGCTGTCAGACTTATAGGAAGCCTGGCTGTATAAGGACATTGGACAGAGTGTGTTTGTCCTTCTGGCGGGTGGGGAGTGGGCTTTCCATATTTCTAGCGTGCCTTAGGTTCAATAGTGAGAGTGAATTCCATCAAAAAGCAAAAAGTTATGCGGGGAGGTTTTGGAAAGACTGTAATAAATATTATTCTGAAATCACCAGGGACCCTCGTTTGGTTTACATGACCCCTTTCACCGAAGATGAAGGTTAGAGAGAGGCTTGGGAGTTCCGAGTGGGAGAGAAGCACCATCTACATGACATTCCTTACTTTCCTGCTTTTTCCCCCTTATAATTCCTTCTCTGACTTTCTTAGGGTGTTTTCTGATGCAGAGATGCTTGTGAGAAGGCAGTGAAGGCTGCCCTGTGGGGCTTGTGTTTCATGCTCATTTATCCATTTCCTTGCTTGTGGATGGAGTTGGGGGCTGGCGGGGTGAGAAAGGAAAGGAAGTTTTTATTTAATAAAGTACTTCCTCTAGTCCGCCATGTTTCACTTGGTAGTTTAATTAGTCTTATTCCGATTGTTGACTTAGGCCCCTGTGCTGTCTTTTGTCGGCTTTTGTTAAGGAGAGTGGGGTGGGATAGCGCGGGTCTTCCCAGACCAGCTGTGGTGGTGGCTGGTGGCTGAGATGTCCCCTGCCTGCCGGGTGGGAGACTCCGATTCATTCCAGGTTAGCAGCAAGGCACAGCTGCAACTGTGTGTGCAATCACACGGAGTGTGCGGAGTTCCCTTGATGGTACTGAAGGTAACATGGAAGGTGATGTTTAATGGGAATGGAAGAGAGGAGGCAACCCTTCTTTAAAATGCGTGATTGGGGAGACTATTCTATAGGCTTGGGAGGAGGAGGAGAGAATTGGGACAAGCAGGCGTATGCCAAAGAGTGGGGGGAATGAAAGGATGGAGACTCCGAAAGAACCGGTGTAAAGAAGCATGGGTGTGTCCTTAGGGAGTTCGCTGGGGTGGGAGGTGGTCAGATCCGCCCCGTCAGGTCCTCCTTGGCAATGTATTTTCCCCTCCACCAGCCTGTGGCACGGTCACGAGAACCCCTTTTGACACCTGCTAGAGACAAGAGGAAAGGTTTGTAGCTGAAGGACATAGTATTTATGAAGCATTTTCTTAGAAGATACTAGGGATTTAAAATTACCCTTCTCTTTCAGTCTTCAGTGGGGAAGCTCTTCTTTGACCTGAAGATGAAGGCAAATTCTTACTTTCAAAGCCCACATCCTGGCTTGGTGTAGCTCCTTCCCATGTGGCAGGGATTTGGGAGTGCTGATACTGGGCGAAAGCTCAGGGGAAATCAAATCCCATTCCATATTTTTTTTAACAATGGATGCTGTGAATTGGTAGAGATATTTAACCAACAGTTTTCTTTTTGTCTGTCTTATGCCTCTGACATCCTTTACATGTCATCTGTATGATGAGAATACAGCAATGTGTTTCTGTTTTGGTCAGTTTTTAGGATGTGTAAAAAGAAATTCTATGTGAAGCTCATTTCTGTCACTTGATAGCAACTCCCCCTTCATTTGCATTATGTGATTTTCATTCTGTTTTTTTTTGAGAAGTGGGTCAGGGTAACTCTAGTTTTTCTTTCTTCAGTGAACAATGTAGAAGCTGCACTAAAAAAAATGTGATGTATAATAACA